GGAGAGTTACTTTGACTGTAAGAAAACCTTGTTTGTAACAATTATGCAGTCAAGGTAAACATTGTTGGAAGGAGATAAAATCTTTTTGAGCAACAGTGCATCTATCACAATAGGAGAAAGACACGTTCTTGTTCAACTTTTTCTCTTTTCAAAAACTTTGAATGTTGACAATGTTACAGAATTTGAAATGACATTTTTCATGCCATTGAAAAATGCTTTTTCTGAGACTGCACACTTCACAAGGATAGTAGGTAGAACTGTCCAAACATTTTCCACATAAACTTTTTTAGAAGTACAATTCCAAAAATACCCCTCATATTCTCAATGTAACTTGCACCTCAAGTTATGAGAATACTTCCTAGAGATTCTCAGATGTACCAGGTTTAGGAGAGTTAAACCCTGCTTGTAACAAAACCCTTGACACAATGTTGACTTAAATCCATGACTTTATTCTGTAAACAGAACAAAATCCTTGAGTATCTTGATTGTATTGGCCTGTCACACTACAATGTTATGATATTCAGGTTGACATTGTACTTTCTTAGTGATCAGCCTAATTGAAATCACATATTTCTCCAGCAATGTACCTAATCTTCAGAATATATCTGGACTCAATTAATTATAATCTAAGAAACCATATTGTTTTTTAAAACAAGAATATCCTCCAATAATACAATTTTCTTCTGACTTGGCCCAAAAGCTTTTACTCCAAGATTCTTCAACATCAGATATTACACCTTTGAAACAACTGATGATCACCGACTAAAGTAAGCTTCAAATAATAAACTCCTTTTTAAACAATTTGTTTCCTTAAGAGCTTTCTCATTTAATGCATCCTAGCCTTTTAGATTTTTCCACAATCTTTAGAGTGTCAAACTGCTGAAATGATGTTCCAACATCTGATTGAGCATAAATTCCCTTCTCAATGAACACGTCATTAATTCTAGTCCTGATAACATCACTAAAAGTAATTCTCTCAATAAAGTAACTCAGAAACATACCTTATTCTCATTCAATAAATATGTAAGAACCTTTGAAGACTTCATAGATAACATATTTACTTTTCTTATAGATCACAAAAGAAAAGCATATAAATGTCACTATACTCCAGGATACCTACCTTGCATTGGACTAAGAAGCCATAAAATAGGTTCTAGAATTTATGCAAATGTCTGATGTTGCACCTTCTGGTGTGACATCTTGACTTCTTCTTTCTTGAACACCAAGTAAAAGGATAAACAATTAATACTTGTGGATTCCACAAATAGAAATTGTTTTTAAATAATTAAAGAACTCCAAACATCTCATTAGAGATACAACATTCTTCCTTGATGACATGTACCTCCAGACCTTGATCATACAAATAGTCATTAGTCCTTTGGTAAGAAGACCCCTTAACAAAACCTTTATTATTCATCCTACATTCTTTAGATACCCAATGTCCTTAAACTTTCTTTTTTAGCATCAACAACAAAGTAATAGTCGATTAGAACGAGACTTAAACAAACTACCAGAAACACTCTTACTGTAGTTAAGTGTATTGAACAGTTAGTGTCAAAATACCAATCATCTTAGTTGGAGATATAAGAAAGGTATGAGAGATCAGACAATTATCACCTCCCCTGAGTATTAACCACTGCTTGGTTAAATAATACTGAACATGACCTTTGAGAAAGTAACCAAAACCATTAAGGTCAACTTTCACAGAAAATATTTCTTCAGTGCCAGTATACCCTTTAGCATGAGTAGTATGATGTCTAGCACAATGTTGAGACATTAAGGTTAACATCCTTGACTCAACTTTACTTTTGATGAAAACAACCTTTTGTCACTTGAGTTTTCTCTTTGCTTAATAAAAGCTTGAAAATCTAATCCCTTCTAGCCTTCCAATTTACTTTCCAATTAAGGAACTCCCTTCAATCAGAACTGAACTCACCTTACATACTTGATCATGATATTAAGTTTTAAGGATGACAACCCTTCCAATTCTCTTAAGACATAAGATCAAAAATAAACCATCTCTATTTCTATATGGTTGACAATCCTTTTTATTCTAGCCATATAGAACTTTGATTAAAATAGTCAGCACGTCATGAGATAGATCTTCAAAACAGAAATCTTAATTAGAAATCCGTCTTCCAGTCAAACCAGTAACCTCCTTACCATATACATGATCAGGAATACTTTCCTAATTAAACCAAGAGAGAGAAAATCCACACAGTTGCTCCTTGAGATAGGTAAGGCAATCTGTTCCACACGAAATCCAAGGTCTTCCCACCCAAGCTATTGAATGTTTGACAAATTGGATTTGATTCTAGCTCCATCGTGTCTTGAGCATCACAAATTTGATGATGTTAGTACAAATGTTCTGAACATGTGGTCCATACATCTTTTCCATTCTTCTCAAAAATTGATTGGATTGCCTTCCAAGAAACATGATTGCAATAAGAAAACCTTTATTAGAGACCATAAAATAAGCTCACGTGAAGTTGAAAGAAAAAATAAATTACTCTTATCTTTCTTCAATGGCTTGTCCCTTTCATGTCAAACCTCTAGAGTGGAGACTTGAGATTCTTCTTCTTGATCAGCCTCACATCTGAACATTTATCTTTCAAACACACTTAGATGTGCCTTTATGAGTGGACTTGAGAAATTAACCAAGTATCTTTGGCCACAATAAAGGTGATATAAAGCCTTCTAAAACACCAGGATTCTTCCAACCTGATAAACTTCATAGTTCTACAGTCCAATGATTACGAAAATGATATCACTCTAGATTTCCTAAAATACACATAGTACCAGAAATATATCTCCCTGAAACTCACTCAATAGACCAGGACGCCTGCTCTGATACCAAATGAAATTTTGGTACAGTCAACACACATATATCTCAACATCAGAATAATGTTAAGACAAATGTTACAACATATGGTAACAGACCAAATCAACTAAGTTATAAGTGATACAGAAAAAAACTGCAGAATGATAAATAACACATAGAGTTGTTAACCTAGTTCGGTGCAACATCACCTATTCTGGGGACTATCAATCCAGGAAGGAAGTCCACTATCAACAGTATTAGTTCAAAGCTAAACAATCATAGTTTACAACTTCTCGCCTAATCCCTACCCAATGTAACTTCTACCCAGACACCTCCTAAATATGAGAAATCTCCATCTCACTTCCTAAATCACCTCAGTAATATTTAATAGTCTCAATCTCAGTGACTGTAACAAATACAACCCAATTTAGAAGATTACACTTCAAATACAAAACCTTAAACTCTTGCTTAAAAGCTTCGAGTGAGGATAATAACTTGACTAACAGTCAAGTAACAATCAGTCGACCACATAGTATCAAAAGATACATGGGTGGCTTACAAACTACACAAGAGACTCTCAAAACCTAAGACTTATGCTTCCCCTAATTTTATAATTATTGAAAAACTTAAATTACATTAGGTTAGGATTTCCCTTTAAATACAACTCTGCAGTCCATGGGCTTCAATATTTTGAGTTCAGTAGTCTTTTGGTCCATAAGTTGAGTGATGCACCAATTATGTAGCAAATCTCCTTCAATCTTGGAACAACCAATACATAAATTTTTCTAAATTGTCTCAAGACCCAATTTAGTAACTAATGTACAGCTGGAGATACAAATCTTTTCCAAAACAAATCTTTTTGACCTGCGAGAATATCTGAAATATATCCAAAGGAAATATAACAGAATCAAATTAAATATGTCAAGATTTTAAATACAGCAACTCCTGCCTGCTATCAGAACAAGATGTCACAACATCTGGTCAGAACCAGGTTTTAACAAAAGTTGTCAATCCTAAAACCATGGTAGTAACATGCCTTCTTATGGGGAATCTAGTTTGCACAGAGAAGTAATAAACAAAGTGTAGTCGTTCAATCAAGTGATGAAGCTAAATTTAGAGCAATGACACAAGGAATCTGTGAATTATTTTGGATGAAACAAATGTACAAGACTTGAGATACAATGTGAAGACTCCATGAAGTTGTTTTTGCGATAATAAATCAGTCATTAGTATTGCACTTAATCCTATTAAAGATGACATGACAAAACACATTGAGATTTGATTTGCATTTCATCAAAGAAAAGTTAAATATTAAATTGATAATTACAACCTACATTCATTTTAGGAAACAACTGACAGATATGTTATATCAAACGAATAATTCAACTAACTTACTTGTAAATTTAAAATGATTGATATCAATTCAACAACTTGAAAGAGTGTTGTAAATATTAAACTATAAATAACAAATTATAATATTAGTACGAAGCTCATTAAAATGTTTTTTTTTTTTTCCGGATTATTTCATATTTTTAATTATAATTTTAATATATGAAATACTTTTCAACAAAAAAATTTTAAACAGTATATACAATAAAACATAAAACATACTATATACGAATATGGTTGTTTTTTAGTAATTTATTATTTGTAATATCTTCTGTTTTTGTATTTTAAAAATGTATACTAAGTGCTGGTGTGGCGTGGCATAATCCGCTTCACAAGTGATTTTGTTATTGTTTTTTCTCACGACAGCCTCATAAAAAGTACCCTTAAATCTCTTTGCGATAAATATCTGTGGATAAGAATCTCCAATGTATGCCACACACACGAAACACTCACAAGTAATGTTCTTCACTAATCACATTACATGCACCACCATAACTTTAGCAATTGGTTCCTAACTATGCATATTCATCTCTCCCCAGAACCTTCCTTCAACTACTCAACTGATGTATGCAGCATTAACTATATTTTTGTTTCTAGTTTCTAATGCTTGCAATGAGTTAGTTTTGTGAAGTTGATTCTTGTTGATTATGTTTTGTAGTTTTGAATGAGACGTGTCTTTATGATGATGATGATTGGAATATAGCTAGTCTTGCAGCCAGAACCTGATTCTGGCAAGGGTAGAAAAGAAGCAGCAATCAAGAGAGATTTCTGATCAATTCTATTCATTGCCATGGATAGCAGCCAGAAGGTAGCCCTAATGAGTAATGAAAATGCTAAACATTTATCAGTCATGGTACTGTAATCTTTTTTACTTTTTTTTTTTTTTGTAATGAAAATATCAGAAAATCATCTGTATAGTGTTGCATAAGGAGTTTAGATACTATGATATTACTTAGAGTCTCAGGTTGGAATCCTAATAGGTGTTAAGAGACTATACCGAACTTTGCTCTGACTTTAAATGGGTCTGTGCTAGTGGATGGTGAAATTGGTCTCTTTGAATTAGTCGGTTTCAGGACCGGATACCCAAGTTTTCAAAAAAGAAGTTACTCACTATTTTAGAATCTGAGTTGGGTTTAACTGAACCTTACAAAATCGATTTATAAGTTGAGGGATGACTCCCACTTTTGAGCTTCTTTTCCGGATATAACATCCAATGCAAGACTTTCAACATACATATCATTCATCGATGACCATGATCGTTACCATGTTCTCTCAGGTCCTAGAATAATTTGAGGTTATATAAATATAGTCAAGTGTATATACCAAAATACTGTTATTCATGACCGTCTTTGAGAGCGTACAAGACAGGCTACTACACGGGACTTAAAATTTGTCACGGTTAAAGCGTTGTTAAATAGGACCTCATAAAATCTTTGTCACAATTAAAACGGAGTTAAATATGGCCTCTAATTGTTTTGTCATAGTTGAACCGTGACTAACTTACACATGGCCTTCAAAACATAAGACGGCTCTGTCATTAGTGCATTGTTCCAAGCTATTTTGAATTTCGTATGATTACATACATAATCATCTACAATATCTTAGGGATGAAAAGTTCAGTTGTCCTAAATGATGGCCTAAAAGATTATTTGATCTTTGATTTTTGCATTGGATCCCGATGAGTGATCATGTGTTAAAGATGATAATTAAAATGTAAGGAAACATTTCCTATAATTTTCATGTTTTGGCAATTCTGAAACAGGAGCCGAAAAAGTACAAGAACGATCAATCAAAATTAAGCTCTACTCCAGAAGAAACAGGCGATCAATCCCGCTGTCTCATCTGTATGGAGAGCAATAGTTGTGGAAGAGTTATTTCAAGAACAAAACTGATGAATACTTTGATTGGAAAACGGAAACCGCAAGAAGCTGTGACCGTCTTCAATAGTCTGGCTGAAGAAGGACATAGGCCAACTATCATAACATACACAACACTTGTGGCTGCGCTAACACGTCTAAAGCGTTTCAAGTCTATTCCGTCGCTTCTTTCAAAAGTTGAAGAAAATGGAATGAGGCCAGATTCTATACTCTTCAATGCCATGATCAATGCTTTTTCTGATTCTGGTAAGGTACACGAAGCTATGAAAATCTTTCGGAAAATGAAGGAATACGGATGCAAACCAACAACTAGTACTTTTAATACTCTCATTAAAGGATTCGGAGTCATTGGAAAGCCTTATGAAGCCATGAAATTGCTAGAGATGATGTATCAGGACGGAAACGTGAAACCGAACGAGAGAACGTATAATATTCTCATCCAAGCTTGGTGTACCAAGCATGATTTGGAAGAGGCGTGGGATGTTCTGCAAAAAATGGTGGACTCCGGTCTGCAACCTGACGTGGTCACATACAACACGCTGGCGAGAGCGTATGCTCAGAATGGTGAGACATTTGAAGCTGAAAGGTTGATATTTAAAATGCAGCAGTATGATAACAAAGTGAGGCCTAATGAACGAACTTGCGGTATCATAATAAACGGTTATTGTAAGGAAGGTAACATGGAAGGAGCCTTGAGATTTTTATACAAAATGAAAGAGCTTGGAGTGCATCCAAATCCCGTAGTTTTCAACTCCCTTATCAAAGGATATTTAGACATTACAGACACAGATGGAGTCGACGAGGTAAGTTCTTATATCGTTTAATTTTCATAAAGTCGATAGTTCCATGTATTGTGATCGAAATAGTAACCTACGAATTGAAATTTGGTCAGGCATTGACATTGATGGAAGAATTCGGGATCAAACCAGATGTAGTGACGTATAGCACCATCATGAATGCATGGAGTTCATCCGGGCTTATGGACAATTGCGAAGAGATATTCGATGACATGGTGAAGGCTGAGATAGAACCTGACATCCAAGCTTATAGTATACTTGCTAAAGGCTATGTACGCTCCAGGCAGCCAGATAAAGCCGAGGCTCTACTGACTTCGATGACCAAGTACGGTTTACAACCAAATGTTGTGATCTTCACTACTATCATTAGCGGATGGTGCGCCGCTGGAAAAATGGACCGTGCTGTTAGACTTTACGAGAAAATGCAGGAAATGGGAATTCCGTTGAATTTGAAAGCTTATGAAACTTTAATATGGGGGTATGGAGAAGCAAAGCAACCTTGGAAAGCAGAAGAGTTACTTGTTACTATGGAAGAAAGTGGTGTAGTTCCTGAAATGTCCACTATCGAGCTGGTTGCTTATGCTTGGCGTGCCATCGGTTTCTTTGAAGATGCAAATAGAATTCTCAATGGCTTACAAGAAAAATCTGAGTATGATGAAAATTTCGATAGTGAAAAGATACCGGGGCAGAACATGGAAAGAATTTATACGAAACAGAAACTCGGTGCTTCTCAGCCTAATAATCTACTGCAAATGCCTGGTATAGTGGCAAGTCAACCAGAAAGAACCACTAATAACGGCAACATAAAAAGCCAAATGATAGTTAAAACATATAAAACGACGCGGAATGCTAACGTTTCGATGGTTTTTGTTCGTGCGAATTCATACGGAGTACAGCCATTGATTGTAAGTAGGCATCAAATTCATAATCAGATCATTAGGCCTTTACTTGATTGTTGTAGATTAGTGTCGATACATTGTTGATATAACTTTATGGTTTGGTTATCTCATTGACTTGTGATGAAACACAATCATTTTGAATATATTTATTTGCTTCCATGATAATGAATTCTGATATAAGGAAGAAAAAAATTATTATCATTGCAAACACACCCTTGAACATAAAGGAAATTCTAAAAAGAGAATGAAACTAAGGAACCATATTACATCTTGTGAATGTTAACAACATTGCAGTGTTTTTTGATGTCTTGTATAAATGCATTGATTTTCGAGCGACATTTTCTGCATATCGGACATTCAAGAAGAACTATCGCTTTCGTCAAGGTACTCTTAATGTTACTTAATACTTTACTTAATTAAAAATGTTTTGGGATGAATTTGAGAATTATCGTCCTCTTCCTTGCTGTAAATGCTTGTTTGCCTGTTCCTGTGGTGTTGTTGATTCTACTAAAACCTACCGTGAACAAGACTATGTGATTAGGTTCTTGAAAGGATTGAATGAGCGGTATGCACATTCGAAATCCCAGATAATGATGAAGAATCCTCTGCCTAATATTGATAGGGTCTTTTCATTGATTATTCAACAAGAATCTGAATTGAATTCATCCATTCCCATAGAATCTATCGATTCAACAGCTACAACATTACTTGCTAATGATCAAGGCCTTTCTAATGGCAAGGGATATCAATTCAACAAAGGGAAAAAGTTTCATCCTCTAAAAGGCGCAAATTGAGTTTGTACTCATTGTGGAAGAACAAATCACACAATGGATACATGTTTCTTGAAGAATGGTCATCCATCTGGATTTAAGAAAAAAGGGAAAAGTCAGAATCTTCCACAAAGTTCTTCACAATATAAGGCTAACAATGTTTTCTACAATGCTCATGCTCCTACAGAAGACTCGCCTTGCTCCTCATTTGGTTTTACTCAAGAAGAGATTCAAAGTATTTATGTCTTGCTCCAACAATCCAAACCTAATCCTACTGTAAACTCCATCACCACCTCTCCTCTTGCCATGAACTCTCATTCTTCCTCAAGCACGGGTAATAGACCTAACATTTGGATATTAGACACAGGTGTAACCAAACATATTACTTTTACTCTTGATTCTTTTACCTCGTTCTTGTTTCTATAGCTTTACCTAATGGTTCTCATATGAATGCTTGTATATATGATATAATATGGTGGGAGAATTGACTTGGATGTTTTACGTTTTATCGTAATTGTTGCGGATAGCAAGAGTCGCCACCGACTTTTCTTTTATCCAATAAAGGAAATGATGAAAAGAACAAGAAAGACCTTTGAGAATTTTTCTTGAGTTCGAGGATAGGTTATGAAAAGGGAAGGTGTTAGCACATTTTTCATCCGTAGTTATCTACGGGTTCTTAGTTGCTAGCTCACTTTGAAATGTTTTGTTTGAAATGTGTTTGTGATGGGTTTTGAAAGTATTTTTGAAAAGTACTTTCGTTTAGGCGAGTTTTGTAATGATTCTCGTCTCTATAAGAATGTATACAAAGTGTTGACTTTTGAAAATATTTTATTTGAAAGTGTTGGTGTATTTTGAAAGATGTTGTTTTGAAAATGGTTGTGAGCAAACAACTATGAACGTTCTACCTACTCAAAGAGTCTTATTTATTTTCCTCTTCCTTTAGATATTGTTATCTTACCATTGATTGATAAGAAGCCTTATCATTGGATGTGAAGGGACGGGCGTGGGTCGTCGTATAGTCATAGAAGACAACTTATGAGACGCTTTAACAATTTTCGTAAGGGACTTAAGATCGTTTTACCGAAGGCGACGTAGAAGGGTCATCGAGGGACTACGATCTTTTTAATCGAGGGTATTTGCTAATGCGTCCCATATTCGAGGGACATTACTGTTTTTCCGAGGCAACAAGCAAGGTTATCCTAGAGGTGCGTGTGTGAAAAGTGTGTTTGGTTAAAGTTAATTTGTCTTTGATTAGGGTTATTTAACGGTTGATTTTATGTCTTATCATACATGCCTAATTACTATACAGTATAAAAGAAAACAGTAAATTGCGGAAATTAAAATTCTACGCTATTACAGAGCTTTCGGGAATGGGGGATACAAATTTACAAATGGGGATGGATCGAATCGACAATGCGATTAAAAGTCTAAATAAGCAATCAATACAACCCAATCAAAATGAAAATAAAAAGGATAGTTAATTAAACTAAAACAAACTATTAAATAAAATTAATAAGCGAAATAATTAATAATATTAAAATAATGCTTTTGGTGTTTTGTTTGTGATTAAAACTTAAAAAAATAAAAATAAAATTCTATTCTATTACTTTTTTGAAATTTTATTTATCATGAAGAATTTAAACAATTTAAAAGAATGTTAACTAAAAAAATGTTATTTTAACTAAATTATTCACAAAATTCCTAACTAAACTAATTAAGAAAAATTAAATAATTTAAAATTATATTTTTTATTTAATTGAATTAAAACTAGAGATTAATCAAATTAAATCTAAACCAAATAAAGTTATTAACTTAAAATTCTAATTTACTAAATTAAACATAAACTAAGCTCACTATAAAATTAAATTTAAATTAAATAAAGTTATTAAAATGATTCTAAACTAACTTAAAATTCTAATTTACTAAATTAAGTCTAAACTAAACTAATTATAAAATTACTAAATTAAAAATAAATTAAATTAATTATACAAATACCAATTTAAATCTAAACTACATCGATAATAAATTTACTAATCTACATCTAAACTAAATTAGCTACTAAAATAAATATCATAAATAAAAAAAGGGTAATGAAACTGAAAATGGGGGTGTGAGAAACCAAAAACGGATTGGGCTTTTAAAATAAGAGAAACAAGGCCTAAATTCTAAACAAATTATATAAAAAATAATAATAAATAAATAAATAATTTTAAAAAAAAACTAGTAGGCTGGGTCGGACCGGGTCGGGCTTTAACCTGGGTCCAACCACCTTGTAATAGTGAGACGGGTTAGGGAACCCTAAAAATCAAAAACATTGAGGCAGCGCCTCTTCTTCCTAATCAGTTCACGATTTTTTTGTTGGTTCATCATTTTGCTTCTGTCTTCATCAATCGATCAAACGATAAACCCTCCCAACCCAATTTTCGATTCAACAAAACTCTCTCTCTGATCTGCGTTCATGACAAAACAACAACAACAAACTCTTTCCGCTTCTCTCGCGATTTAGTCCCTCTGCTTAAACTCAAATGTCGTTAAAGTTTGATTCACAACAGCAAATAAAACTCGAAGAATACAAAGATCAATCGTGCACAGATCAAATGTGAAAACAAATTTTAAAGGAAGAGAAAATAGTTACCGACGATGAGATTTTTTTGCCAAAAGTTTGTCAAGGTATGATGCTCAAACTTATTTCTTCCTCTTCGATTCTGTTTATGTGTTTCTGTTGTTGATCTATGATGTGTTTGCTTCTATTTCTACGCGTATTGAATGTTGCTGGTGTTTGGACAGGTTGCTTATGGATTTCGAAATTTGTTATTGTTGTTTTCTGTATTGCAGGTGATTCTGAGTTAAGGTTGGATTTTGGTTGAAGGTTGCGGTTTGTGAGGTTAACAGCGAAGGTTTTGGGAGAATGGTTAATGTTGTGTTTTGGTTAACAGTGAGGTTCACAGGGAAGTTTCTTCCATAAAACTTTCTCTTCTTTTTTTTTAAGTTTCTGAAGGGTTGGGATAGGGAAAATGATGATGAGGAGAATGGGTTTTTTTATGATATCTGGCTTTGCTGTCTTTTTTTTAACAACAATATTGTTCTGGTTTTATGGATGTTGGATCCTCCTCTTTTATTCTCTCCTTTGTTGTATTTATAAATGAATAAGATGCGATTTTAGGGGGGAAATATGAAAAGTTTGAACAATTTTGGCTGTTGTTTTTATACTTTTTCGATGTAGCTTCTGTTTTTCTTATTTGTATGCAATTGTTGGACTGGATGGATACAGCTTTTATAGGGCAGCATTGCAGTTTTTGGACTGTTTTACTGCGGCGTGTTTTTGACAGTGTTTTGACAGTATGTGCTGTTTTTGTTTTGATATGTTTTGTGCAGAAATTTGGACTGTTTTTGTTATACTTATGACAATTGTGATGTAATTATGAGTTTAGCTGTTATTTCTTCTCTATTTTTTCCTCTGAACCAATATCAATTGTGATTTGCAATGGATGAAATATTGCCCATGATTGACTTTAACTTGTAAATTCTGACTTTACGAAACCAAAATGGTTTATGAGGTTTTGAGCATGATTGAATGCAAACCCTTTATTTCTGATTCCTCTCACAAATCCTAATGATGAGATTAGGAGAAAATTTTGTTTGAAAACTTCTTGTTTAAACTTTATTATTTATGTGCTAATCATATCTTCCTTTTCTTTGATTTGTTTCATATGATGGTGTGGAAAAACGACAAGGCAAATTATAATAGGAAGTCATGGATAGGCTTGAAGGCAAATGGTGATGATGTCTTGAAGAAATGGGGCTTCCATGAAGCTTGAAGAATATCTCAAAGATTTTGGGATGATTTAAACATGTTTACGATTTAGGATTAGGCCTTGGATGTAAAGTCCCTTTAAAACTTGCATTTTGAAATTGATCTTTGAATCATAACTTGTAACTTGAAATTTGCAATTATAGCTTGAATAAAACGCGTGGCCTGGGTATCGAACCCCAGGCCCTTCGATCCTGCGCGCGCTGGGTCTTCCTAGGCTATGTCTGCACCAAATGTTAGCAAACGAAGAACATGACCTAGGTGCCAAACCCAGGCCGTTTGATCCTGTCTAGGATGGAAAATCGATTGTAACAACAAATATGGATGTATTATGCAAATACAAGGTTGGACAATTTACCTTCTCTTACCAGTAGATTGGACCTTCGATTTGGGTATTGGATGGATGTGAGCACTTTCGATCTGAGGGCTTCTGGGTGTGGGCACCTTCGATCTGAAGGACTGCTTTGGCTTGGAAAATTCTGGCAACCTTTGATAGATTTTTGGGCAGCCTCTTTCCAATGTGTTTTTCGTTCTCCTCTCTAGACAACACTTGTGATCTCTTTATATAGAGGGGGTAGAGGGGACAAGAAGGAAAAGGTGTAAACAACCTTGATTGTGTTTGAAAGTCATGAATAGGATTTTGTAACGTTGGCCAAACACATGGGATCGTGTCCCTTTTTTAATTTGCTATTGTGTAACTTACCTTCAAATGCCCTCCTTCGAATGGGCTTCTAGCCTCCTTCGAATGGGTCTTCTGAATGCATCTTCGAATGGACTTCTTATGCATGCTTCGAATGGGCCTTCTGAAGACTTCTTCGAATGAACCTCTTATGCATGCTTCGAATGGGTCCTCTGAAGGCTTCTTCGAATAGACCTTTTGGAATGCCAATCGAAGTGTTTGGCCATACCAATCGAAGGGCTTGGTTATCATGCCTGTCGAAGTTGTCTTTGTTTGAAATGATAAATCGAAGGATTCTTTGCCATGCCAATCGAAGGGCTTGGCCATGAGGCCAACCGAAAGCTTTTTTTTGGAATGTCAATCGAAAGGCCTAGCCACATGCCAATCGAAGGGCATGGGCATGAGGCCAATCGAAAGGCATTGTTCAGTAGCCAGTCGAAAAGACATTGTTAAGATGCCAATCGAAAGACACCTTATCAAAGGACACTTTGACCAACTTCTAAATTTGTTATTTTTTCTTCAAGCAAGTGTTTGTAGTCACCCATGTGAGAGAAGATCTTATAAAAAGTGAGAGGGCAAATTTTGGGGTACAACAATATGCAATGCAAGAAGTAAAGACTAGAAGCAAATCACAAAGAAATATATCTAAGGTACGGGGGTTAATTTATACAAAAAGAATGTATTAGCATCCTATGTATCTGTAGTACTCTACAAGAACCTTTTGTAATATTTGTTTTTTGGTTAAATTTTGATTGCTTGTAAAATGATTGTAGTGATGAGAAAAGAAATATATTTTAAAATATTTTTGTTTGTAAAGACATAATCTTATATCTTCATACCAATTAAGGATAAAAACCTCATAGTTCATGATAAAAATAACAAAAGAGTTTGTTGTGGTTGATTTTAGGATAACAGATATTCATCATCTTAAGGAGA